TGATGTGAAGAATGATGGAGTTGGGCTAAGATTAGTGTACCTTGTACCAGGCCACTGTTGGATGTCTGCAAAGGTATGTGTGTGGAGGTATCTTAAGGCTCAGAGAGAGTTCTTAGTTCAGCACCTGGATTCTGCTTCATAGTTTTTCACTTTGCGTCAGTCCATTGTAAGTGAGCTTTGGGCCACAGAACACCACAGCATTTCTGGATCGTGTTCACACATGGTTCCTTTTTAGCATTGATAGAACTTTAAACTGCATTTGTGAATGACATGCCAAACTGTGTTCACAGACCATGATTTCAGGAAGTGTTTCTGAGCCCATGCAGGGATTTCTGTGACAGAATCATGGCTGTTTTTTAATGCAGTGCTGTCTTAGGGCCCGAAGGTCACGAGTATCCAGTAATGATTATCAGCCTTGTGCACAGAGATTTCTCCAGATTCCTGGAAACCTTTGATGACATTATGTATTGTTGATGATGAGATATTCCAAGTTTTCACAGTATTACATGGAGGAACATAGCTCAGAAATTTCTTCCACAATTTTGCAGATCAATTTTTTTCCTTTTTGGCAGATTAAGGAACCTTTGTTCACCTTTACCTCTACGAAAGTCTGTCCCTCAATAAGACTTTTTATAACCAGTCTTACTGACCTTTTCCCAACAAACCTACTTATTTGCAAAATACTCCACCACACATTCCTTTTGAGTACCACTTTTCCATTCTTTTGTTGCCCCGCCCCCAGAAGCATTTTGCTCCGAACATGTTACATTTTCTTAATTTTCTTTTTTCTGCTGTCAATACGGATTTAATAGCTCTGCAAGTCATTGATGTCTGTTATTTTAGACAGCCTCCAACCTTTGAAATTTGGATTATGACTGAAATTTAAATTCAGTTAATTAAATAAAGTTTCATTTTTTAAACTTAATAGTCATGGATATGATGGGTTGGTTATAAGAGGTTTACCAGTGGTATTTTAGTAATTACATGAGCCTCTCTGCAGCTGTTTGCAGTTCAGTATATCATAAAAAGTGGTCTGTTTCATAAAGATGTAGTCAGTTGGTTAAGTTAACACCAATCAGCTATGCTTTCCTCACCTCCTCAACTTGCCCTGAAGCCTGCTCTCTCCTCTCCTCTCACCATCTCAACACAGTAAGGCGACCCATTCATCAATAATTGATAATTGGCTGGGACAGGTGAGATGGAGAGGCAATTTGTAGAGTATGGTGTGGGTGCACTGCCAGGAGATTGGCTCCGAGGAGGAGGACTGAGGTTGGGGAGTTGAATTGCTTCTCAAGGACTCACAGCCAGGGGCCAGCTGGAAGGACCAGCCCTGCTGATGGACCACTACATAATCCTGCTAGAGTGTGTGTGTGTATGAAGTAATAGATATGGGGATGCAGAAGCAGAGTAACACACATCCAAACACTCACACCCACATATTGAGACTTAGCTTTGAAGTCAAGCAAATACTATTTATATTGTAAAATCAAGAAACATACATTTTCTTCAAGGTCAATCTGGATAACATGAAGGTCACCATCGGTAAATTCACCAGTAATCTATTACAGGGAACAGTTTCACAAAACACAAACAGGGAGGTAGGCATTAAATACAGGCAGGCTTTGTGAGTCCACTGTGATCCTAAATTGGCAGGAATGCTCGAAGTGGTTCAAGAGTGCAAAAGGAGACGACCTCAAAGGGGACAACAGCCAAATTTAATTTATTTAGGCTTTTTTTTTTCTTATTTAAAGGCATACAAAGTTTCAGGTTTTTAGTCTCCAACAGAACTCCTGGTCTTTGACAGGGCTTCACATTTTTTTTTCCCTACCAACTCAAACCTCAAATCTAATCTCTTATTCTGCATCCTTATTCCTTTCCTTCTAATAAGGCCTATTTTGACATTAGAATAATACCCCACAACTCCAGATATTCTTTAGTGTAAGAAATCCTCTTATATACTTCACATGTATGTTTTTTAGGTCAACTGGGACTAATTGTGGCTATATTTGTTTATATAATGGGATATTATTGAGAGACAGATAAAATGAGCAGTAATATATCCTGGAGGATCAGGGGTTAATTAAAGTACTCCGGCTTTGGATCTTATTGTATATAATTCCTCTGTTTCCTCACTTTGCTTTCTTTCTTTCTTCATCCATTCTAGTAACAGTACTTTATTGCTATATTCAATCAGAGGTAACACTGAGTCTAATTACTAGTTTTAAATGTATTTACTGTCCAAAAAAAAATACCCAAAACATTGATTTACTCTTAAATATTTTCTATGCATACTTTTGCATCACAGTAAAGCCAGTTTCACTGATATTCAACACAACTTTATTTGCACAATATAAGTTTGATTTATTTATTTATTTTTTAATTGCCAGAGCAATGTCTTGTAAAGGACAACCGACGTGTACTTCCAGTTTTTAACATCTGATTCATGGTAACTGCTGGGAACATCAGTACAATATCTTTATAGAAATGAGATTCACAAAACATCTCTCAGGTTAATCTCTGGTACTTTTCCTGTTTGGATCTTGGTCCATATTTTCCTGCCTTCACATGGAAGAAGATGGTGAACGCTGTGTGTGAGTGTGTGTGCGTGCCTCTGCGTTGCTCTGCCTGGGCATTGATAGTGTGTCTGCTGGGTGCTGAGTGCTGGGCAGAGTGAGGGAGAGATGGAGTACTTATTGATTTTGGCCACACATCTCTTCTCCTGAAAATCCCTTGATTGCTTTTGTTCTGCTCCCTGTCTCCCTCTTTCTGTCTCGCTTCCTCTAATGAAACTCCAAATGAATTGGAGCACGTACTGACTGCTCTCCCGCTCTTCGTTTCACTTCTGCTCTCTCATCGGCCTCCTTCCTCACTCTCTCACTCCGGCTCTCCCTGCTGATTTCTCTATTGCTCCCCTTCTACCCCTCTCTCGTTTCCTCGATGTGTTTATGTTGCTCGGCCTACATCTTAAGCTCCCATTCTCTTTATCACTTTTGTCACATTTTTCTCCTGTGCTCTTCTCTACTGTTTTCTGTCTCTGTTTATTTTACCATCCAGCTCGTCTCCTTTTCCCTCTGCGTTTCCCTCATTCATCCACATCCATGGGAATAGGAATTAATATTGGAAATGTACTAACCCACTAGCCATGGCTCAATCTTTTACTAAAGGATGACTCAGATACATGGCTCACTTAAACAGGCAGACATCTCTTCAGCAATCTCTCTGTCCAGTCATTCTTGGACCTCTTTACTAGAACTATTCTTTTCTCTTTTTTTTTCCTTCCCCTTCATCTCACCTGGTGCCCTTTGATTTTTGCTTTTTCTACATGCAAACATGAGGGAGAGAGTGAGAGGGAGAGCGAGGGGGAGAGAGATAACAACTAATAGAAGACAAATCTTTGAGCTCAGCTTCTGACTCAAGAGAAATTAGCTCAATCAGCAGCACGCAACTAAAGGGAAACTCCTGAATTGTACACCTCAAGTTCAGCTTATTAGTCAGTCAATATACTATCCAATTTGTGAGAACAGTTAAATAAATGTCTTCTGTGATTTAAAAAAGAAAAAAAAAGAAAAAAAAAAAGGGCTTTTATCAAGTCTTAAAAATAACGGTAACAAGGTGAGAGAGACTAACAGAAAGATTTTATTGGTTGTGTTCTGGGAAATATACAACCCAGCCGTTCTTTTATCCAGTCAGCCATCCATTCAGTCAGTTTCTTAACCTATTATCTAATTCTGGGTCATGGGAGAGGCTGGAGCATGTCCTATTTGACATTTGGTTAGAGACAAGGTTTACCCTGGGGAGGATAGCAGGCTAACACAGAGAGACAGACAATCATTTATGATCATGCTCACACTAGGGCTGGGCGATATGGCCTAAAATTCATATCGCAATATAATTTGAAGCATGTGCGGTAACGATATATATCACGATATATTCTTTTCTTCTGTATAACGTATTTTCCACACTATAAAGCACACTTAAAATCCTTGAATTTTCTCAAAAATCTAGAGTGTGCCTTATGTATGAATTCTGGTTGTGCTTACTGACCTCGAACCGATTTGGGCGTGCAGAAATCTGTTAAAAAATGTTTTAGTACAACTTTGGTTAGCCGCACTGCTTGATGGATTGTCAGAGCATTACGGCAAGCTACATTGTAGCCACAGCCATCTCTTTACAGGTGTATATTTTCTGTAATTTTTCTCATGCTCTTAACTTTTGAATTACATTTTTTTGCTTAAAAATACAGGACATAACAAACAGCATATCAGAAGGGCATTAAAAGCATGAACAGTCCTAAGGTAACAGCGATACCTGGGATGTTGCAGGATTTGAGGTGAAATAGACTTAAAAATTACTTCTTCTGCTATTCGTGCACAATAAAATCCAAACCCTTTTCTGCATCTGTCTCTCTGCCTGCTCCACTTTTCTGTCACTCAGACGATTGTTTAGGCTAACTCCTTACGCACACAAACAGAGCTCAAGGTCGCGGCTGCACAGAACGAGTGCACACACACAAAGAAAGTCTGGGTTGAAAGATTTAAATATTTATCATTGTAGTGATTATTTTCTTATTGGATTTTATTGATTCTTGATTATATTTTGATTAGATTTCTGATTGTATTATAGCAGGAATAACTACCAACAATAGCACATTAAACTGTGTCACTCTGTGCTACCTTACACCCTCAAAGGCTGGATTGGGCCTTTTACTTCACTTTTTGTAGAGCTGAGCCAAGTGATCTCAGTCCACTTGACATCCTGTTTGATTCATACCACTTTATGTAAAATATCTGTATATATGCACAGCTCTCCCTGTCCTTGGGGGCTCCATCGTTGCAGCTCATCAAATGTGCATCCTCTGTGTGGAGTGTGTGGCTTCAGCCGATTCACTTGCCATTCTCACTTTTTTTCCCCCCCGCTTATGGACTTCATCGTTCTGCCTCATCTAAAGTACTTATGTTTGACACTCCTCCTCCTTTTTTCTTTTCTTTTTCTTCACCTAGGGGAGCTGGAGGAGGAGATGGAGAATCCAGAGATGCGGGATCTCCCGGAGAAACAGAAACACCAGCTCAGACACAGAGAGCTCTTCCTTTCTCGCCAGCTGGAGTCTTTACCAGCCACACACATCAGGTACACTTCATTTGTGTCACAGGACTAGATGCTTTATTTACCTTCTTTTTGTGGGACTTGCTTGTGCAACTTCTAAACCCACCCACCTACTTGACATTCTATTTTGGTTTCAAATACCCATCTCATGCTGTGACTGAAGTTCTGTTCACTAAATGTTTCTTCATCTTTTCATCCAAATCTTTTGGGTTACAGTTGATTCAACAAACCCAACTTTTTCTCCAAACAGAACATTTCTGATGAAATTTTCCTAGACGGTAGGGGGTCGGTGAAGAGAAAACAAGACAGACAGAACCGACTTGTTTTTAGAAAAAGTAGTTATAAATTTATGGTAATAACAAGATGAAAAAATGGCAGCTCATTTTTTGTTTTGTTGTCTTTTTTTTATGAATACTATCAGGGATGAATGCTTTGTCGTTTTTCTGTGTTGGCTTCAAGCCAATAGGGGGTTAATAAAAATTGGTAGTGGTTAGAAATTTTCAGCTAATGAGCAGTGGCTTAATGTAGCATTGATACTGTAAATGAGTAAAAATTTAGGCTGATTAACACCTCAGTTACGCAGGCCTAGAGACCGGTTAGTAACCATCTGGCAACCACCAGTTGTGAGGGGGATAAAAAATGTGTATACCTCCAGTGGCTGCAAGTGATTGCTGGAGACTGCTCTTGTGCGACTGCAGCAGTCTGCTAGCGACCGCAGAAATCACACGGAGGTTTTTGGTGCAGCACCTTTTTGCAGCCAGTGTAGGTCAGCAACCACTTGGACCAGATTGAGGAACATTTGTTTTTCCCCCATGTCGAGTGATTTGCCAGATGATTGGTAACTGGTCTCTGGGCCTGTGTAACTCGACCCTAAAATTTAGATGGATTGCAGCATTATTGACTGTGAATCACCTTTTGCTTAAGTAGGAAATTTAGATCAAGTGTAGGAAAGGTGGACTTATTCACATCACTAATGCAGTTTACGTTGTTTTCATTGATTAATAAGATAATTTTCGAATACTAAAAAGCGAATCTTGATGGCATCATAATGTTAAGACCTACAGTATAACAAATATTTGCAAATTTCTTCTGATTATTCCCATTTCCATGTTGCAATTTTTTATTTACATGCATTGCATGGACTCATTTATACTGTTATAATGTGTATTCATGCTTTTTGATGCAAATACTGCAATTTCCTTGATGTCACATTGCCTGCTATACGTGAAGCTGTGCTGGCGAGAAAGACAGACACAAAGTAATCCACTCATATGCAGGGTACACGCTGAGCAGTAAATGTCAACAGAAAGCTGTTTCTAGATATAAACCTACCTCTGCTCATCAGTAAGCTCGAGGCAAACCTACCTAATCATTAGCATATTATTACTTGACATTCCTGAAATCACAAGAAGAGCAAACTGACATCTGCTCGAATAAAAATGCTCTGATGAGCAGTTTGTTTAGTGAGAATTCAAGCTTGATTAAGTTTTCTAACTTAACAGTGTGTGGCGAGGTTACACAGTGTGCTTGAGTTTATTACCCTGCCAAATCGTATTTGCTTCAGGCTAGAGAGGTATGACTAATTAGCTGGTAAATAATCCCAGTTCAGACTGTAGCAGTTTGGGGACAGGGATGAGTGCTGTTGGTGTCAACACACGGGACCAGGATTTATCCCAAAAAAACTCCAAAAAACCAAGCTGGGCAAACTGGACCTGAATCAATACCATCATTGGAGATTCTGAGCTGTATCCTACATTTCTCTTGCAGAGTATCCCATGGACTTTAAGCCCCGTCTGCTTTTCAATGTTTCACATGTCAAATATTGGCTCATACTTTTCTCCTCTATGACTTCCTCCTGTGTCTTTCTTAATTTTTTTCTTCTTTCTTTTTCTCTCACTTCTTCCTTAACTGTGTTTCTTACATCCTTCAGGGGAAAGTGCTGTGTGACGCTGCTGAACGAGACAGAAGCCCTGAAGTCCTACCTGGACAGAGAGGTACGTGGTCATGATGGAGTCTCAACTGTAATTAGGTTTTAGATTTCAGAGTGTGTGTGTGTGTGTGTGTGTGTGAGTGAGAGAGAGAGAAGAGGAGAGTAAGAATCTTATGAGTTTAAAGATTCTTGTTTCCAGATGAATTATTCAACGTGTTGACCTAGAATGTTCTTTTCACGTACTGTAATGAGGAGACGAGAGACTAGGAGAGGGGGGAAATACACAGACACAAACACACACGCACGCAGACCAACTGATACACCCCACTCTTTCGCCTCTCCGCTCGCCCATCCCGCTTCCTGTTCCTTTCATTGCATCCTCACACCTTCCTGTCATCTGTATTTCCCAGGATGCCTTCTTCTACTCGCTGGTATACGACCCTCAGCAGAAGACCCTGCTGGCTGATAAGGGGGAGATCCGTGTTGGGAACAAGTACCAGGCCGACATCACCGACCTCCTGAAGGAAGGTACGTTGTGCTTAAAATTTTTGGCTGCTTTTTAAAAATGACTTATTCGCTTAGAAGCACTGTATCCATTTTCTGCAGGGCACTTTTTACCCTGCAGTGGACTGATTATTTTTTTAGCAATATGTCTGCATTAATGGGAAAAGTTTAACAGTCTGAGCCACGACTGTCAAACTTTTTAATATTTGTGCAACTGCTCAAATTTCAGGAACATGTCATGAACTTTTATGACTTTTCTGCCTTAATACACCACTTTTTTTTCCTCTTTTCTGTTACGAGTAAAGTTGAGAGAACAACCAAGTTGGGTTTCCATGGCAATCACACTGTGGACTAACAATGATTATACATAATCACAGCATTTGAAATAACAGTTTATTGCATTCGTGTTGCACAATTGATGACTTTACAGTCACCCGCAGAGAAGACAACTGTTCATAACGCATCCCAAATCTGACATCAAAAAAGCTGTCATTGAGGTATACACCCACGATGAAATATAATAGGTCGTAAAGTGTAGCAAAATATTTGTAAGCATTCATTTTAATAACTGGGACTTGACAGTTTTGTACAAACTGTAATGTTTTTAAATCCAACTTGTTAGTAACACAAATCCACTATTATTTCCATTTAGATGAGCAGAAGGATATTTTCCGGGCATTCTCTGCCAATAGTTTGTAAGGTAATCATTAATCAGGTAATCATTTTCAAATGTGACTGTTTTTCTGCCAGATTATGGTGTTTTGCTGGCATCCTGTGTTTTGCCAGAATTTTATTCTTAGCAGGTGGGATGCATCTGAAATTGCAATTAAAGCACCATGGGACACTAGGCTTGCTAATTAAACCCATGTTAATGAAATTCTTCTACATGTGTTAGAATCTCAGGCAGGCTGGCTCGTTGGTTGAAGGCTGGCAACTTGACAGAGCCTACCTCTTCAACTCTGGGATTCATTAAAGCCCCACACAAAGCAGGATTTATTTATTATTTTAATCTAAAAGGAAAATTGCAGACAATTGAACTTGAGTTTTTTGTGTTTGCTGTTGTTTTTTTCCCCCCGATAAAGACCCATGGCAATCTTGGAGAGCATTAAAAATGGACTTGCATCCACATTTGTTTGTCTTGTGGTGCATTTAGGTGAGGATGATGGCAGGGACCTGGAGAAAATGGAGGAGAAGATCTGGGACCCCAACAGCTCACTGACAGAGAAACAGATTGATCAGTTTTTAGTAGTAGCACGGTAAGTCAGCTCAGACATGAAATGTATAACAATAACAAAAACAAATCTGATTTTTGTAATTTCTTTCAATTTCAGAGAGAGTTAGTTGTAAAGTTAGTTATGCTAAGGTAAATTTGCCTCACTTATTAAAAAACTGTGTCAAGTAAACTTAATCCATCCAGTCTTAGAGCCGTGATGTCTGGCTTTTATTTGTGTGCATCTAAAAACAATTATGACAGTTATTATAAAACACATGCATACTTTTTTTTTTTTTTCAGGGAGTGCACTACATTTAATCAGGTGTACTTGAATCCGAAGTGAATCCAAGAGCTAGTCTAAAACTTCCTAAAGGTCACTAGAAGGGTCAAGGCAAGGTTAAAAAAAAAATAAAAACACCCATCATGCTGAACGGGCATTATGGGGTGCCATAAAGACGTTTTTTGAGTCATTAAATTTAAAAACCTCACCTCTTTAAATTGTTCCAATTTTCTCTTTGACATCATGTCTTTGTGCACATCTGGACCGGTTCCAGCTCAGCTGCTATTTTTACATCGCTTCCTGGAAGTCCGTTTCTGACTACTTGTATGGGCACATTATTTTACCGTGGAGCTCTGACTTGCCAGAGAGCAAACATCAATTTCTCTGTCAAGCTGACCCAGCCCAACCCCCATAACTGGTGGAGAGAGCGAGGGCACATCAGCGAGGAGTGGCACCAGAAGCATGCTTGTTGTTGTTGTTGTATTTTCTGTCCTGAGGTGGTTGAGGGAGAAGATTTACAACAAATGGTCTCAACTACGGCTCCCTGAGACTTCATTCTATTCCCCTTTATGTAATTCAAGTTGAGGAGTCATTGTTTTTACACAGCTGAGCAGATCCAGTGCACATTATGGACACACAAGTGCAAGTAATCTGAGTGGGACTTGCAGGGAATGAGAAATAGAAAATAAAATAGCCGCCGCACTGAAAGCGGCGCACTGCTGCTCAGGAAGATTGAAGATTTAAATGTGGTAGAACTTTTGATTTGTTGTGAAACGCTATGATTGCACCTGGTAAAGATGCTGCAGTTATTTAATTCTCAGCGTGAGAGAAAATACATGAATTCACTAAAACTAATAAGTACTACAAACCTTTCCTAAAATCTGTGAATATCTAGTTTTCAAGCCATATTTGGTTGCTAAGCAGTTTTAGCCTGTTGAGGTCTAAATTTGCTTGAGGTGCATTATCTGTCTGACCACACTACAGACTTGAATATTTTATTTGGAAGAACCAAAGTTAGGACTTTGCTGATATGACTTCCATGTTTGTTCTGTAAAGGGAACTATATCAGTAGTTTCTCATGTGTCCCACAGGTCAGTAGGTACCTTTGCCAGAGCTTTGGACTGCAGTAGCTCTGTCCGACAGCCCAGCCTACATATGAGTGCTGCTGCAGCCTCCAGGGACATCACCTTGGTGAGATAGACATATATATGATTTGATTTAAACTGTTAACACATGACATGTGAAAGGTGTTGTGGAGAAGGAGGACTGTTAATCAGAAAATCCTTGCGCGTGAGTCTGTTAGTGATTGTTGAAGCCTGTGTCTGGTTATCCTTAACAAGCATTTGGCCCCAAAACCTAGCCAGCCTAGTGTGGGTCTATTCTGCCCTAGATCCTTTCCTCATATATAAAACATGGATGAGAGCCCTAGCTACCCACATGTACACAAACACACATGCAGACACACAGAAACAGCTCAGATACTCTCATGGAGGCTGTGTCTACACACTCTAAACTGGTAAACTATAATCATATAGCTGCAATGAAATGCATGATTGGTTCAACTCATGCACTGACATGGATTTGTCTTGCATTTAGTTTCATGCCATGGACACCCTCCATGCTACAGGCTACGACATGACTCGAGCCATCGCAGCACTGGTTCCTCAGGGTGGACCCGTCCTCTGCAGGGATGAAATGGAGGAGTGGAGCGCCTCGGAGGCCAACCTCTTTGAGGAGGCCCTCGAGAAATACGGCAAAGACTTTACCGACATCCAGCAGGATTTTGTAAGTGGGAAAACAGTAGGATTTGATTTTAGGAAACATGCTTTTGTTCTGTCATATTTGTGTGCAGTATATGAAACTACATAAAGACTGTAAGCTGAGAACCGGGCAGACAGACATAGAAGTGCTGTTTTCCACTTTGGGTTTCAAATGGAATAACAAAATGTATTGCAAAGTGTCCTTGGTTTATTTAAGAGCTGCAAATACAGCCACTTGAATTCATTTCATTTTACAGATTTTTCTCAGCTCATCAAGCTTTATAATTATCAACTTATGCAGCAATTTGCACTGAAATTAAATTGTGAATTTTATGTACAGAAAACATAAAGGAATATCCTGGAGAGAGCTCTGGCTGTAATACGTACCCTCTACAAGTTAACTTGCCAACACCTTTACAGCTCAAACCAGTCCTATGATTCTCCCCATTTTAGACTTCGTTTAGGTGTTCAGCTGATTTTCCTTTTATGCAACTTTCAAGCATAACAGTAGTCTTGTAAAGAAGCACTGTGTCCAGCCCCATGGTAAGAATGAATAGTGAGCATTTTTAAACAAACATCCAGTGAAAGCTGCCTCTTCTCTGCTGAAGCGCCTCATGTTCTTCAGTGCTGAGAAGAGTGGCGCTGCCTTTAGTGTTCTCTCACTGTGTGCATCAGTCCGCCACCTGGTGGCCATCTGCTGTCAGTGCTGCAGACTTTTGTTTCTACTTGAGGTTTTTTTCCAACAACAAGACTACACCATCAGTATGGGTGGGGCCACCACTTAAAGGCTCATATTCTTTCAAACTTCATAGAGGCAATGTAACGATTTAGCTTCAGTTTTTTAATCGTATCTTTACCTTTTTAATGAGCGAGTACTACATCAGGTTGAATGCGTGTGTGTTCCTTAAAATGTGAAAGAAATACACAGATATTTTAGCATTCATAATTATAAATGTCACGAAAGGGAGAATCATCTTATTTGAGTACCAATCTTAATTTCTCAGTTAGTTAAAGTCGTTAATGATCATGTAATCAAGAGTTTCAGCTTTAATTTTACATTCCCTGCCTTCAGCAAGATTTCCTCTCTTTCTATCTGTTCCCATAACATCACCTCAACTAAAACCATAATTATTTTCCTCTTCTGTCCCTGTGTAGTTGCCCTGGAAATCCCTGACGAGTATTATTGAGTATTACTACATGTGGAAGACCACAGATAGATATGTACAGCAGGTAACAACTTCCTTTATATATTTCTTAAGGAAAAAAGAAAACTAAGTGACCCATATTAATTAATTTTATATTTGCATGCGATTCACAAATCTGTTGTTGGTACCTAAAGGTTAGAAATTCACTAGGTCTAACTGCACTTCTCGTCAACAACCTCCTTTTCTGCTCCAGAAACGATTAAAAGCAGCCGAGGCAGAAAGCAAGTTGAAGCAGGTCTACATCCCCAACTAGTGAGTACTTTGATGCAGCATTTTATCAGCCTGCTTTCATTTTCCTACATATTATCAAGTATTAAATCAGTCGATGCTGCGGAGAAGGTCACAGCAACAACTCTGGTATTTTAAAGTTCAGCACTTGTCGCTCATTATACAGTACAAACTCTTCTTTTTATTATTCACAAACGCTCTCAGTACTGGATCAGTGGAACTACTGTCTCTGGTTGCAGGCTGATGAATATTATTTGTTCTCTTGGTGAATGTCTTGTCTCTGTATCTCTTCTTATATCAGTAACAAGCCAAACCCTAACCAGTTGAGTAACAATGTAAAGCCAGCTCTGGTAAATGGAGCAGCGGGTACAGCGGGTACAGTGGGTACAGCGGGTACAGCGGTCCCAGGACCTCCAGGCTCAGTGCCGACCCCAGGCTTGGGTAGAGCCTGTGAAAGCTGCTACAGTAAGTCATTCTGTTGTGTCCTGTTATTGCGCAAATGCAGTAGCTACTGTCCTGATGTAAGAGTTCTTTCTCCTCCTTAGAGGAAATGAGATTGTCGTGATAGATATACAGTCAAAGCCTCAGATGTTTGCAAATCCTAATCAGTTTTGATGCGACAATTAAACATCTTTCAGTCTCGGTGTGAAAATCTATTTGCTTCTTTAATTGCGCTCGATAATTAACCTGGTATGGATCTTGGGTGCTGCGTCTGTAGTTTTAGTATACGTGATGACAACATCCTTTTGTACTGATTTTCCTAATTTTTATTTAGCTAGCATCCAAGATCATCAGCCTATGTTGATCTCCATCATCCTTGTCTTCAGATCGGTGTATTTTCAATCTAATACAGATAATTTAAAGATCTGTTCTGTGCTCTTTGTATGCGGCACACATTTGATATTGGATTTCCATAATAGAGAGAAGAGAAAATGGCCTTATGTGCCCTGCAGCAAAGTATTGTTTGAATTATTTTAGAGGCTGTACTTAATTTAACGATGAATGATTAAAGCTAGGGCTTACTACACCCATTTTTGGTTTTTTTGTAATCATCTCTGCTTAGCCATGTGATTTTGTGCTGTGTGTTTGTGTGTATAGCCAGCAGCTCCTACCAGTGGTACTCGTGGGGACCTCCCAACATGCAATGTCGCCTGTGCGCCTCATGCTGGACCTACTGGAAGAAATACGGAGGGCTGAAGATGCCCACGAGGTTGGATGGCGAGAGGCCCGGACCCAACCGTAACAACATGGTACAAGCTCACACACGCTTCACTAGATATTGACTTTGTTTCCTTTCCACAAATAACAGCCTTACTGTCTGCCGGAAACCTTGCAGTTCACCAAAAGTTCATCTTCCAGAGAAAAATCTAATGTTGGTTATTAGTTAAGTTAATTTAGCCTTTTTAAATTAACCCAGTCATTGTATAAAATGAAAATGACATCTGAGACGCTTGAATCAGTATGATATTATTGTTTGGGGGAAAATGGTCCAAATGATGCTCTTTTAAAGCAAACATTTTGTCTTATGACAGTAGGAAAAGCAAAGGTGGAGTTAATCACAGCCCAGTTCCATTAAGTGTCCCAGTAAGCCTCGAGAATGAATCAAAGGTGGAAAGTAGGTCTTTCCATCTTTGAGTGCGGCAACCACAACCTGTGAAAAAGTAATATTTATTACTTCAAGAGAGAAAGTACCACAGTGTCCTAATTTGGGGTCTACAGATGCCAAACACACCATACATCTATGCATTTCTCTTCTTGTGGTTTTTGTCCTTTTTAATAAAGAGCAGTGTATCCTATTTTATTTTAAATATTTTTTATTACAATCCTGTTGAGTTTTCAGTAAAATCCCTACAGCACAGAGCATTCAGCATGCCCAGTCATTTAAATGTGTTGTGCATTTTAAATCTATACCCTTTGAAAGCCTACTAGGAGTAACCCTGAGAGCTCTCTTCTGAACTGAGGGACTTTCTGGCATATTTCAGGTCTGCTTATAGAACAAAATGACTGGGTTTGCATCAGAAATTAAATGAGGGTGATCTCTGTCTGTGCAGCTACCCTGGGAAAAAACAGGACCTATTCTAATGGTCATTGGACCGCAACTTTACGGACATATACTGACGTGTCAGAACTTAACTGTCTTTCACGGGTACTTTATGGGGGGAGTTAAAAAGCACTCTACGCATCTGTCTTTCCCTTTGGTAGCCATTAAATTCCTATCAGGCAATGATTGTAGTCCAGATGTTTTCCTTGTCTTTAGTCCTGTGATAAATTGATCTCTCCCTAATCCATCATTTAGCATTCAACTGTAAATACACATTTCTACTAGTACAGGCTGTTCAACATTTTGGTTACAAAAGAAGTTTCTCATCCTCTAAACCTTCTCTAGAGCCCCCATGGCCTGCCCCTTCGCCACAGCGGCAGCCCCAAGTTTGCTGTAAAGACCCGGCAGGCTTTTTACCTGCAGACCACCAGCCTAACACGGATGGCACGTCGCACCTGCCAGGACATCATCAGACCTCGATATATGGCCAGGCACCCCTACCTCCCAGTCAACACAGCAGCCATCAAAGCAGAATGTAAGGAACCGTTTCCCTCATGCATAACTATGACATGTTATAACATTTGGGCGCTCTGTACACGTCCTCATATTTCTAATGACAGTGTTGTTTCACTGAATGTGTGCAGGTGCTCTGCGATTACCAGACAGGCCAAAAAAGCCTTTGCCACTGAAACCTGTGGAACGTAAACCTCTGGAGTCTGTTGTTCGGTATTTAGGTGAGATCAATTCGCCACTACATGTTCATTTTTCAGTTTCTAGTTTTTCAGGTCACTTTTAACTGGGTGTGATACCTTGAGCTAGGTATTATGACAAAATGAATTTATTTCCTCTGTCATTTTCTTCATGTGTCTCTGATCATGTTTCAGAAGCACATCCCCGTCCATCCAAGCCCAATCCACCGACTCGCGGAGGGTCAATCTCTACAGGCAGTCTGACACCTATAAAGTCCTCTCCCATCCTCAACAACGGCTCTCCCACCATCCTGGGCAAGCGTACCTATGAGCAGCACAATGGACTGGATGGTGAGCCAGACAGACTAGAAACTTTGAAGCACATATACAATCTGCATGTGTTTGCCTCGTCAGCGTCAAAGAATGTCATCTTCACCGAACTCCTATTTGTCATAACCACCATAGAAGATTATTTCCATCTGCAGTGGTATATATTTGGCAGCATGTCTTTGTTCTTGCACCTCTCCACCCTTCCTCACTGATATGTGGAAAACCAAAAGCAGGGAGAGCAGCAGCGGCATCAAGGCTTTCGTATAGAACAGAGCAGGCTGGGATGGGGGTGGGTTGCAATGTGGCTTGCAGATGTGCAGCATCTGTGGGCAGGCAGAAATATATCAGCATTTAAGTCTGTAAGCTTGAATTCAGCACATGCCCAAGTTATGCTTGATATGTTGAACATTGTTTTGTTTTTTGGTTGTTAAAGACTTGTACCATCAATATGCATTTTAATCAAAATCCCCTTTGTTTCTCAAAATGAAAATATCCTTTAAAAAACATTCAAAGGGTTTTGAAAGGTTTACAGGCAACTTGAATTTGCCTTGGTGTAGTTTGCTTGTCTCATTTGATCAAATTTGGACCATTAAAGAGGCAGTTCTCATGTTTTGAAGTTGAATTAAATAATACTTAATGTATTTGCCTTTTTATTTTTAAAATTCAGTTTTTAAATTATTGCAATTATGTCACATTTACATTTATTATCTCATTATTGTGAATCATTTAACACAGATTATTTAAGCAGAATATAAATCTACACCCGCGACCTCTGCGGCTACAGCACATAGTTACGATCCACTGCCGAAGGGTTAACAGTTTGAGTGGGGCTCTTATGTTGTTATATGTTATTTATTTATTTTTTGGGGCGTTATGTCCCACTTTCTTTCTCCCCTGTGAAATGGGAGATGGGTAGAGACAGACTGGGAAATGAAGAGAGGGAGAGAATGCCAGGGAAGGATGGAAAGAGGAGAGAGCAAGAGGGAGATTGCAACAGGATCCGATCGGCCTTGCTTCTTTAGCTGGAGGCTACGGTCTATGTTGTCATGGTAACGGGAGAAAGGAGGATCAGGAGGGTTCGGTAAGTGTATCCTGAGGGAGAGTATCTCCACTGCTCTATGAGCCCACCTCAGGCCCATGCTGGGATAACACACCAGGAGGAGATCGGAGTTGGAAATCGTCCAGGTTCGAGGATTAGGGATTAGTTTTCATTTGTTTGACTTCCAACTAGCTGACTCAATCATATCAGAGGACAGAAAGGGTTTCTGTTGCATGTTTATTTTCATTACTTTTAAACATCGTTATTTATTTGTCTTATTAAATGACTGTGTTTTGTGGCAGAGTGAAAGGGATCATTTGTGGTCAGAACGCACACGAAATTGTGACCCAAGTCTGCTGCTCAAATTGAGTTTATGGAGCGTCGTAATGAGTTTCAGCTCGTTGTTCAGCTGTTTCGCCTGCAGGTTTACTGTTTTGGTTTACTGTCATGCTCTCACAACATCTTTTTGGCTGCGAGCAGGCACAGTGAGGAGCTGATGAAAGTAGCGAGGCGTTAACAACCTAAGGGCTGTATTTCCCTTAGGAGCTGGTAGAGACCACAAAGGGGACCAAAAGAGGCTTAAATCTTGACTTTTGTATTTGTTGTCTGTCTAAATGGCAAGTTTGTGTTTGCTGCCCCCAAGTGGTAAAAGAAACTTCTTTCATCCAACTTTGCTACTTATAAAATTTGCTACGTTTTGTCTTGTTTGCTTAACCCAGACAACACTATACATATGGAACAGCTAATTAAATTCTTTAGTATGTTTCTATATGTATGAAGTTGGAGATATGCTGCATCATTGTGAATAGAAGCTTCTACTGTGAGTAAAAAGCTGGTGAAAGGGACGAGTAAAGTCTCCTTCTAGCGTCAAGAATTGCGATGATTTGCTGAAATCGTTTGAGGAGTAGAAAAGTAGAAAGAAAAGAAGAAACTGAGACCACAAAACAGCATAGGAACAATATTATGTAATAGTAGCATGTAAATGCTGAGGAGAGGCGCTCAGACCTCAATGCAGAAATATAACTTCTTACAAAACTTTGTGTCTGAATGACAGTCTGCCATGAAATCTCACTAACAAGTATTTGCAAAATAGCCTTCGTTGCTTCTCTAGCAAGCATGAGTGCATTTAGAGTTTTTAATTTCAATTTAGAACATCAATTAACTTGAATATTACATCATTTTATTGCTACTTTGTGTTGCTGCCAACTAAATGTGAATGTTAATGGTGTTGGCCCGATGGGCTTTGATTGAAGCGTATAAAAAGTAGTGAAGTGGAAGATGTGGAGGCACACGTTGTTTTCTAAAGCGCAGCAAAAATAAGGTTTGGTGTTGTTTTTCCTCTGTGCTGAAGTACTTTAGGAAGCCAGCAGAGGGCAGAAGAAAGCAATAATTTTGTGCAGCCCCTTACTAATAAGGGAGCATCTGAAAATACTGTTGTTTGCCTGTAGACTAAAAAACTAGAGCTGTATTTATTTTAGTTTTCTCCCGTGACATCTCTCATGGTCTTCTTTTTTTTTTTTTTTTTTTTTTTTTTTTTTTAGGTGCCAAATCCAAAGTATTGGCTCCACAGTGGGACATTATGGCCAAACGAATGAGTGAAGCAGTGCGGCCCTCATCGTCCCTCCAGGACGAGGTACATGAACTGGACTGAGCACTCTGCGGGACAACCTTCACTGCGAACCTCAGTGAGGTGAGAAATCCCCACTTACCCGTGAGGATGCTTATTTTTAATTGCCTTTGTGTTAATAGTTTTGCTGTTCTGTCTAACAATGTTGTTTCGCCAAAAACGAGGAAAGGAAAAACATACGCCTATCCAGCTACCCCTATAACCTGAGACGCTACGAAAGTAAAATACAAATCAAAAAAATCAAAGCAAAGAAAGCATCTAAGGCGCTTGTATCTATTACAACTAGGATACAAACCTACAGATACATTGCTTTGAAGAATAGTGGTGAACTTCTCACTGAGGGAGAAATATGATCAGGAAATCTTTGTTAATGACTGTGTTGCATCACTTCAATGTTTGGTGAATTTAAATCCTAAAAAAAGGCAACAGTAGAAGTCACAGCTGTGTTTTAATGATGAAAGTAAGAGCATTTCCACAAACACAGTGTGAAGAGAGAGGCATTGAGACTAAGTGGCTGTGTAGCCTTAAACTTGGGCTAATAAGGGTTCAGTTTGTTAGGTAACAGAGATTAGACTATGGAGCAATGGAGGAAGGTCATGTGGTCTGTAATGAGTGCATCAGGGTAAGAAGAGAGGCGAATGCACCCATCATGCTTGGTGCCTACCCTACAAACCTGTGAAAGCAGTGCTATGATCAGGGGTTGCTCCATGTGGTCAGGTCAATATCAGCTGACTACCATATACTGAGTGACCAGATTTTTCCCAGCAGTGGATTTTTTTTCTTTCAGGGATATTGGAAGATACCAATGTTAGGATTCATCAGACTCAAATTATGATTAGTAGTTCAGGGAATAGGACTAGCCACAACTAAATCCGGACCTTAAGGCCTTTGAGAATGTTTTGGATGTGCTGGAGAAGACCTCATACAGTGGTCTGACTCTCCCATCTTCAAAACAATCGGCAGCTGGGGGGGGGGGGGGGGGGGAATTTATGCAATTCCAGATGGAAATAAATGTTCTGACCTGTGTTAATTTTTGTATTTTTTTTATTTTTTGAAAATAAGTTTACTCCAATCAGAACTAATTACGTTCAGTCAATCAGAATTGATCTCCTTGCATAGGAAGGTTGTCACGTCTGCCCCCGATAAACAGGGTTGGAGGGAGAGAAGAGTTGAAATGTAGACTCCTTTTGAATTTGATGTCAATGAAAATAAGGTGCTTTGTAAACTGTTACACTTTATATTTTGGTCAACTAAATAAACTTTCGATTCAGTCAACTATAATCTAAAGCTAAAAGAATCTAGATGCCTAAATGATGAATAAAACCTAATTAAGCTTTGTTGTCAAAATTAACACTGGTTTTGATGTTGCATTAGATCAAAAACAATTTGTGCTTTCATTAAAGGTAAGGAGCAGTTAAACTAAATACTCAGTATTATTTTTAAAGCCAAGAAGAGTTTAAGGGGTATGAAAACTTTAACGTTTTAATGAGAGGTAAAACATTATGGTTTTTGCCCAGTTTTGAGAGTTTTTGCTGTCAGCTGTCATTAACTGTGTGTAAAACCTTTCCCTCGTGTGTTTCTTCCACAGCAGCGGGGGATATGAATTGGATGAGGCTTTTCCCACTATAACCATAGCCGAGGGCAGCTGAAAGGAGACGACAGCATTGGCTACTTTTCTTCAATCAGTATGAGTCTATCAGACTTCTGAAGACTAATCGATCAGTTTGGCTGTGGTCAATCAGAAAATGAGCCTGACTGTACAGGACTGTGTTTATTACTTACATTTCTCGTTATTACTGTCTTTGTAATTATTGTTATTGTTATTTTAATGTTTTTCTTTTTTCTTTTTTTACCAGTTATAACTCAGCTTATTTGTTTGTCGATCAAACGTTGAAACTTGAAGTTTCAAGAAAAATGCTTGCAAAAAACCCTGTGGAAAAGGGTGGAAGGAACGTAACAAAAGCCACTTGCATCTTCTGTGTTTTTCTTTTTCTCAAGTTTAAAAAGAAAAAAAAAAAAAAAAAAAGAGAGACGCACTTTGATTTCAGTGACACGAGTTCAAAATGTCTTTTGTTTTTCTGAATTTGAATGCTTTCTAGGAAATTTTCTGTTGTGTGAGTCGGCCCTGCTCTTCGCCCAGAGAGGTTTAACTTATTGAGAAAGACTTGGTGTTTTTTCTACCTTTTTCATAAGTAATGCATCTATGCTTCTAAAGTGTAATTAAAAAAGGAAAAAAAGAGGTAATTGATTTTTTCCCCCCTCTTCCTTTGGTGTCTGTGCACGGAGGTGAAAGTTGCACTGAATGTTCTGTTTTCAAGCTGGTGTTTACCCGTCTTTCTTACTCCTGCAGGTATGCAAACAGGGTATATGCAAAAAATAATGGAGAATTTTTCATTCCTAATTGCTTTATATGTTATATGATTAGTATTAGAAAAGATTTCATGCACAACCAGAAACATGTTTTGTAAGCAAACATCTGAAAACTAAAAAAAAAAAAAAAGCAGGAGTGTGCTCTGCTTTCATGTCCTGTCCTTTGTGTGTTTATTGTATGTTTGCTAGCAGCTTTGCAGATTACATCTCTTCTCCTGCAAACATTTTTCACTTTGGGGTAACATCCTAGGCTCTGTAGACGCCTGACAACCTGTGCTGGCTTTTTAGCCTTATATCAGAACATATCTGAGCCTTAAAGTCTCTAATCAAGTGGCTGGGTAAAGCTGGTGGTTTTGCTGACCAATTTAGTGAATTTGCATCATTGTCTTTAGGTGATGGTGGGCTGAACTCACTTTTTAGTAATGATGCTAACAATGAAACGCTTTAGAAAGTTGGACACAGCACATGTACAGTTTACAGTATTGTAGTGCAGCAGATAACTGAAACAATCTTTCAAAAGTGGATACAAGCAGCAGAATTTGCAGGTTTGTCCACTTGGAGAAGTGTGAAAAATCCTATTAGCTACTTGAACTTCTGCATTTTCCATCTTGACCGTCATTTCAACCTTAGAAACAACTACAGAATTTCAACCACTGGATACATTTAAGAAATGTTACTCTTGATTTTTACATTTTTGACTTCAAGCAAATCAAAATGTATAACTTAAAACCCCTTTACACCACTGAAAGCACACCTTTAATATTCATGTCATTATATTTCTGTGTAGTTCATTTGAATTTTACATATTTGATGCACACACTTGGCTCATCTCTCCTGTGCTGGCACGGCATGCTATCGGCCTCTTCCTTCCTTTTTTTTTTTTTTTTTGAAGGCTTAAACAGTCACTCCAAAAACAATTTTAGAACCACCAGTTTACCTGACAAGCAATACATGGATGCAGAATCTGGGGTTTGAATTGCAGACCTTCAAGGAGACAATCTGCTCTAAATATAAATAAGAGAAATAAACAAGATTTGGGGGTTCAAGGCTGAATCCATTCAGGAAATGCAACTGAGACAAATCACATTTATACTATTGCACACCACACCCTGTTTGAAAATGTAAAAAACTAAAAAAAAAAAAAAAAATATATATATATATATATATATAAAAAAATCACAAAATGACTTTTAAAGTTGACTTCTACAAAGTTGAATGTGTATCATTTGACACAAAGATCATTCAAAAAGGGAAGTGTAGTTTACATAATCTTTAAAAAAGAGGAACTTTTTGCCTTTGTTGACATTCATCTTGAATTTTCAGTTAGCTAATAGAAAGTTGGCTTCATCAAAAAAGCAATAAAAGAGTATGTGTACAAATTTTGCAACTTGTATTCACCTGGAAATGTAGATTTATCTGCTGCACTATTCCAGTCTAATTGGTAAAAAATTTAAATTATAGGACTAATAAGGGGAAACAAGACTGTCAACTTTCTGTAGTAAAAGAAGTCATTAAGTGAAGTACAGGGTATTAGCAGAAACAGGGTTTGGTACACCTGGCTGTTTTATCTGATTTTTGAGCATTCACAGGTGAAAACTAAAATAAATTTGGCATTTTGGGTAAACATTTGAAAGCCATCGCCATGTAGGGTTGATGGCTGATCTAACTAAGTGTAAGAATATGACAGCTCTCCTTTTTACTGACATCCAGGTTCAAAGTTATGAAGACTCAAAAATGTCAATAATAAAAAGCACAATACCCCTATATACTTTCAACTTTTCTTAGTGTAAAGCCAAAGTTGAATGAAAACTACATATTTAACTAAAGTAGCTCCTCAGGGAGGACACCCAATCAGCAGAGAAACTGAGAAGTGGTACTGATGTATTTTTAATACTGATATGTTAAAATCCATGTTGATGTTACAGACTCAAAATCAAATCCATGCAATAATCTACACAGTAAAAAAAATGAAGTATTTAAAATCTGGGAAAGGAGATCACTGATTTCAAGTTGGTACGTTGTAATAAAAACTTGTTTAGTAATAACAGGAGGAACATGTTAACAGGGAGAAATCGCTAATAAATCACAATATTGAGGTAAAGAACTTGTCGCTAAAGCAAATCAAACAGCTCTTTGCTAGCCATATTGTGACACCTTTACAGCTTTATTCAAGCTATTTCACCTAGCTTTCCTTATCTGATAAGAGGAAGATGATCAGCATGTTTTTTTGTCAGCATGAGATCGATGCTGATTGCCAACATAACGATTCTGCAAGAGCATCCCTCCTTACTTTATGTGGCCTCATGGAAAATCCCGTCTATGTGGTATTTTAGCCTCTGCCGTTAATGTCCAGTTGAAATCATACCTGGTTAGTGATGTGCCCAAGCATACAGATAAGATTACCATAATCATATAATAAAGTTTTTCAAAACACTGAATGGCCTTTCAAATCTTGTTATAGGTACTTTGAAGACCACTTAGAGTTCGTATTAATATTTCAATTATGTCCTGTAGTGCATCATGTCAGGTTTAATGATTGTACATAATATTACTGTTGTTACTGCGTGGGGTCAGGCAGTGCATTATCTGTTGTTTAGACTGTATCATCTACTTTACATACTGTATTTTTCCAGTACAATTCACACTCCCCGACTCATATATTTCTTGGCCAGCACATTGAATTAAATTAGTTTTCATAAATCCTATAATGACTCATGGAAAGTCCTTACTTAAGCTCTTGTTTGTGAACTATATGTATGTCTTGGATTGTGACTACACAGCAGCTTCATCATGTGCCTGGAGCACCTTTTCTTCTGCTGAAGTAAATTGTTTGGCAATAAGACTCAAGTTACCACATGCCCCTAAACACTGTGACTGGTTTCTTTTAACTGAAAGAGAAAGACATGCAGATGTCACTGGATATGTGTGAGGGTTCATACCTCAGCAAACTCCTAAAATATTCATTCAGCTGGAAGCCTGTGGGAAAATCCTCTCATGTCCATTAGTTTAAGATCAAAGGTCTAAACAGGAACGAGTAACAATGGATGTTTGGAAATTATGTTTATGTACTGCATGTGTTTTCTGAGAATTAAATATGTTTTAGGCTGAAACGGAGGTCAGCGCCACAGTTTACATCATATTGCAGCAGCAATTACTTAAAGTAATTCACTTTTGTTGTGAAAATTTTTTAACTACAGAACTAAAATAAAAACAGGTGATTTTTCAGGAAAGAGAAGAAGACTTGTATTGGCTGGCTAGACAGAGAGACTGAGTGGGAAGGGATGTGCAGCAGCTTAGGGTGATTAAAGGACAGAGATCGAAATGTGCTAACAAGTGAAGAGAGTGTGTTGAGAAGATGCAAGGAATACTTTTAGAAGTTCACGAATGAAGAAAATGAGAGAGAGGAGAATGGATGGAGGACATTGAGTAAATCAGAAAGTGCAGAGGATTAGTTTTGAAGAGTGGAAAGGTGGTAGGTCTGGATGACATACCTGTGATGGTATGGAGATGTTTAGAAGAGAGGACAGGGATCGACAAGATTGTTTTACACCATCCTGGAGATTAAGAGAATGTAATGGAGAACATTTGTACTTGTACTGAGTGTGAAGAACAAGGGTGAGCTGTAATAATTCAATCGAATTCAGTTTTGTTTATATAGAGCTAAATCATAACAACAGTCATGTCAAGCACTTCATAATAACTAATTAACTAAATGAAATGCGGAGTGATCTATAAACACATAGTGACTGAAAAGGGTTAAAGAAGAAACACTCATAGGGAACCACAGCAGTCTAGGACTATTACAGCATAATTAAGGGATATGTTTTTTTAAAAAAGGGAAGGTTTTAAGCCTAATCTTTGAAGTAGAGAGGTGTTCTGTTCCCCAAATCCAAACTGTGAAGAGAGACCTGAAAGCTGAAGGCTCTGCCTCCCATTCCACTTTAAAATATCCTAGGAACCACAAGTAAGCCAGCAGTCTGAGAGCAAAGTTCTCTATGAGGTCTCTAAGATAAGATGGGCCTGATTAATCAAATAAGGACTTTATATTTGATTCTAGATTCAACAGGAAGCCAATACGGGAGAAATATTCTCTCTTTTTAGCCCCCTTTTTTAGCATTCTGGACCAGCTGAATGCTTTTCGGGTAGTTTTTGGGACAGCCCACTAGTAATAAATTACAATAGTCCTATAAATAATAAATTCATGAACTAGTTTTTTAGCATCACTCTGAGACAGGATGTTTTTAATCTTTAAAGATTTTGCGCAAATGCAAAAAAGCAGTTTTACATATTTGTTTAATATGGACACTGAATAACAGATTCTGGTCTAAAATGGGAAAAAAGTCTTTTCACTAAGGTCATCCAGGTCTTTATGTCTTCAAGACATTTCTGCAGTTTAACTAATTTGCGTACGTTATCAGGCTTCATTGATAGATAGAGCTGTGTATCATCTGCATAGGAATGAAAATGCATGGTATGGGAAGCAGGCATAATGTAAACAGAATTGGTCCTCGCACAGAACCCTGTGGCACTCCATAATTAACATTAGTGTGTAATGAGAACTTTCCATTTACATGAACAAATTGGAGTCTATTAGATAATTAAGATTCAAAGGGTAGTGCAGTATCTTTAATTCCTACAACATTAAAGATACTGCACTATACTGCACCATAATATTTCATGTGCAATGAAATATTATGGTAAATGCTACTGAGCAATGCACTGAGATCTAGCAGGACAAGAGGGCATAAGAAGTACAATTTGCAACCTTTAATGCAATGTTTGCATTAAGAGTGTTGATGGAGAAGTAGAGAAAAGGTCAGAATCAGTGTGCATTTTGTGGATCTAGATAAAGCATATGATAGGGGGCCAAGACA